GGACACACACCTTCCTGAGGTTGCTTGTTATGTATCTTTAAGTCACCCCTGGGCCACCAATGGGAAGTCGGTAAGAAGCAAAGACACACACCTTCCTGATGTACTCTGCAGGGGCTGGTAGTCAACCGACCTGCAGAACACAGGTGGTCTCTCCTTGCTCATGGCAGCACAGCAGTCCAAGGCCTTGCCCTTCCAGGGAGACTAAGGATCTTGGCAGAGGAAGGAGGCCGGACAGTCTAGTTCCTAGTTCTCAACAGTCCCAAAAAGCTGTGAGTGTCAGGCCAACTGCTGCTCCCAGGCTGGAAGGTTCCTGCCCCAAGATTCCAGGGACAGATCTGTCCCGAGTGGCAGTTAAATGTGCAGAGTGCAGCCGGGATGGGTCCCACCTTGGATGACCTGCCCTGTGGAAAGAAGGGACTCCTCCCTGGACCCCAGCATGGGTCGGGTCTGGGAAGGGTATTCTGGTTTTACACTGTGGTAATCGTTGCATGAGGCTTTGAGTTATGAACTTTCAGTGTGTGAGGGTATGTTGGACATAATAGACTAGTGTATATCTTAAGCAGGAAGTATTATACTTACTTTTTTCCTATTTTGTTGAGATATTTCTCTTTTGTAAACTTTGATTTTTTAATATATAACTTCAGACTTGCAGACAAATATATAAATAGTACAAGGAGCTCTTATATTTTGCCCTATTTCTCTCTCTCTCTCTCTCTCTCTCTCTCTCTCTCTCTCCATACATAATGTGTACATTTTTTCCGAACAATGTTCATATGCAATACATACTTGTAATATGTGCTTTTTTCCTGAATAATTGGAAAACCAGTTGCAGACACCATGTCCTATCAGCCCTTAAATATTTGAGAACAAAGACCTCTCTCTCCACGGTAAATATCTGGAAAGCGGCTGACACAACACTGCTTACCAAACCACGGTCTGTGTTTAAATGTTGACAATTGTCCCCGTGATGTCCTATGTAAGATCCGCCCCTCTTTGATTCAGGTTCCGACTAGCTATCACTCATTGCATTTAGATAATTCATCTTTCAATCTGAAGATGATCTTCAGCCTTTTATGACCTTGGACATTTGGAGAATATAAACAAATGTTTTCTGAGTTTGTTTGACTTTCCCACATGGCAAGATTCACATGGAGCACTTTGGGGGAAGAATGCCGTAACCCCATGTTCTGTCCACACCCTGACCTGGTGTACGGGGCCTGTTACACCAATCTGCCCTGCTTCTGGTATTAGTTTGGGGTGTTTGGTTAGAGAGACTCTGAGACTACTCAGACATCCTCTCTCTCATCCACTGCTCATGCTCACTTGAACTGTGTCCCTGTGACTATTATGGTCTTATACGAGGCGCCCCTAAAAAGCTCACGTGAGAGACCAGGCAGGAATGTTCAGAGGGGAAACGATTCGATTAGGAGAGCTGCAGTCTAATCAGTGGATTCAGCCATCACTGGGGTGTGCCTTTGGTGTTTCCATTTTGTCCCTCGTGCCCCAATCTCTCATCCCTCCTCCTCCTGTCTCTCCCCGTCTCTCCCCCACCACTTCCTCGCTGTTGTGAGGTGAAGAGCCTCGTGCGTCCTGCCCTTCTGCCGTGAGGATCCACCCCATTCAGGCTCACAGCAACGGTGTCGGTTGCTCAGAGGCTGAACCTCTGCCATCGTGAGCCAGGTCAATCTCCTCCTCTAGGTTGTTCTCATCAGTTACAGCAACAAAGAGCTAACAATGACCTTGGGAAACAGGTCTCTCACGCTGTCATCTCTTCTACGTTTATTAATCCGCATACTCTAGAAGGAAGTTTTTCCTTTTCTTTCACTTATTACTTATTCATTAATTTATATCAGTATGTGGATAGAGGCTCCTGCTCATTTTTTCCCTGTGATTGATGTTTAAGTACCTGCTCCTGGGCAGCTTGAACAGTAGAGATTCACTCCCCACAGCCCTGGAGTCTGAGTGCGAGATGGAGGGCGCTGGCCCAGGAGGTCTCCTTCTGAAGCCCCTTCTCCTGGCTTGGAGATGGCTGCCCTATTGCTCAGTGCACAGATGGCTTCTTTGATGTGTGGGAGGGAGCGGGAATAAGAGTGGATAAGCACCCTCGTGTCCCGTTCTGTAAAGAGGTTAATTCCATCCGAGGTTCTCACCTTGATGACCTCATGTAACCCAAACTCCCTCCCTAGACCCCACTTCCCAATACCGTCACAGCGGGTGACAGGGCTTCAAACCATGAAGAGGGTGAACACAGGCTTTTAGTCCATGACCTCACCTCTGGCACTTCAGGTCCCCTCCTGTGCCCTTTTCAGAAGCTCCAGGATTATTTGAGCACTTAACTAGTTTCTGGCAGGAGATGTACCAAGTTCCTCTTGTCGTTGTGGCATGAGATGTATGAAATTCTTGTCGGTTGTCAGTCCCAGACCTGGAGTCAGGCATGTCACAGGGACCCCTCCCTGTTTCCTTTGTGGGGACTGATGTTTAGAAAACATGCATGGCCTATGGGCTTCTAATATGTTGTGTATTCCAGACCCTCTCAACACAGAAAAATAGATGTACACACACACACACACACACACACATATAGTGTATACAAATATATAGAACACACATATGTACACAATATATATGTGTATGCATGAACATAACCACACACAAACACACCATAACATACACATGCATATACACACATCCCCGTGCACACACACCCCACATGCAAATATGTACATACCACACACACATACAAAACACGCAAACCTCTATAAAACTTGAAATCATGCTTCTCGGAATATTGTGTTCATTAACACATCTAGAGAGGATAAAGTGCCTAGAAATCCTTTCAGACTTCTCTGGCCTGAGACGAGAGAGGGAAGGAAGAGAGATTGTGTGGAAGGACCTTGCACTGCAGTGTGGTTCCAAGGCTGCTGGGGAGGCCTGCCGGCGGGGTCCCCAGCTCTCAGGACGAGCTTTAGCATCTCTGCTGAGCTCAGCCACCAGCTTGAAGCAGCCTGCGGGAGCCATGACCTTGGCATAGACACAGTGGTCAAGGTCGGAATGTCACTGGGGGTTGGAGGTGAGAGGTGCATCCTCACGGCCACTACAGACAGTAAAAGTGGAACATAAAACACAGTGGGAGTTCACACCTCCGTTGACCTTACTAAGACTGCGTAAGGGGTGGATTTTACTTTCAAAAGAAAAAACAACACTTTACAACACAAATTAGACAAGTGAAAAAATAAGCAAATGACACCTTTGAAAGGCTTAATGAAAATAATTGCCAACTTCCAAACCCAGGAACTAAAACACACTCTGAAAATAAAGGTGGCTAAAACTGAGATAATCAAGTCCTGAAGAGATTAGTCTCAGCTCAGAGTTTTGTAGGTTTCAGCCGCTGTCAGTTGACCTTGTGGCTTTGGGGCCTGTGGGTGAGGTAGCACACCATGCCAGGGAGCATCGATGGGGCCAGACTGCTCATCCTGTGGCAACCAAGAGCGGAAAGAGAGCAGACAAGAGACCGGGGAGCTGGGACACACAGGCACCACTCCAGGAACTTGGGAGGCTGTGGCAGGAAGATCGCAAGTTCAAGGCCAGCCTCCACACCTGAGCAAGTCACTCAGCAACTTAGTTATCCCTTTCTCAAAATAAAAAGGATGAGTACGTGATTCAGTGGTAAAGTGCCTCTAGGTTCAATCCCCACTACCAAAGAGAGAGAGAGGAGAGAGAAAGAGAGAGAGGAAGGGGAAGGGAGGGGAAGGGACCCAGGGTCCCACTATTCCCTTCAAGGGCACCCAGTGACCTGAAGACCTCCCATCAGGTTCCACCTCTTCAAGGCTGCACCATCTCCCAAGAGCATCAAGCTGGGGATCGAGTCTTTAATCCATGGGCCTCTGGGAGATGTTTAAGAGCCAAACTATGGCCCACAGACACACACTAGAAGAAGCGCCACAGGAGATCTTGGAGTCAGAAGGGAAATGATTATAGGTGGGGATACGGAACTGTAGGATTTTCATGTATGAATACATGACAAGGGAAACTCCACATCGTGTACAACTACTAGAATGGGGTCCTCAAGAGGCTGGGGTTATACATCAGTGGGTAGAGTGCTTGACTTGCCTGCAGGCACAAGACCCTGGGTTCAAACCTCAGCACTGCAAAGAAAAAAAAAAGAATGGGATCCTAATTAGAGTAAGCTATACTTCATGTATGTATCCTATGTCAAAATACGCTCTACTGACATGCAAAGAACCAATAAAAACAAAACAAAAACGCTGACCATTTAAACAGCAGTAATAATGAGAACTTTAAAATATATGTGTAAATAAAATGAATGACAATACCACAAGTGGCAAAAAGCAGTCTAATAAGTTAGTGATTTTTCCCTGTCAATCAATTCTAAAGTTCATATACATGATAAACTTAAATGTGAAGTATAAAATGTAAGGGCTTGGGCTATGGAAATGTAAATAGTGTCTCCTTGGTGAGCAAACTCTCGGGGAATAGTAGGCATTTTGTTTTCACAGCTGCAATATTCTGCAGTTTCTCCCAGGAACCTAGTAAGATGACTAATGCACACTCGGTGCCTGGAAAAGTTCCCATGCAAAGGTGCAGGATGCCTAGCTGCTGTGGCAACGCCCTCCATGAGGAGGCTCTGTGCCAGAGTCTTACCAGCTTCCGCCTTGACCCCAGACACTCGGCTCCTGGGAATAAAGGTCCTCTCTGGTTAGACCACCACAATGTTTCTCCAAGTTCCTGCTGCTCCTACACCCGCCCACATAACAGTAACTTTAAACAATGAGCTTTCTTGAAAGCTACACAAAGCTCCTAATATTGCACGTCACAACTTAGTATGTAACAGAGGAATAAGCTGCATAATGTTGCTGACTCAGTAACCTGTCCAACGACACAATGAACAATCATGTATCATGGTGCCAGTGACCTCATGTAAAATTTTGATATAAATAAAGCCGGGAAGCTTAGACAAGGGGCCATTCTCCCTCTGTACCTTGCTTCTGTCTCCTTTTCTGACAATAAAACAACTAAAAGAAAACTTAAGAAATCATTGTGATTAAGTTGATGTAGGTAGTTTCCTCAAAGAGGACATGAAAAGTGCCAACATATAATATTCATGAGAATGATAACATATAATGAGGGGAAGAAGTGATAAATTGGATTACTTTAGGAGATTCCATTCATTAAAAGACACCATTAAGAAGGGCCTCGAATGCCAATCAAAACTGCTCTAAGATATTATAACTCTGGTCAGAATGGCAGCCATTATGAAGACAAAC